CTCTGTACCCCAGAGGTGGAGCGGGGAAAGCAGGAGCCCCCGCTGGCTCACCGGCTCGGCTTCCGCCACAGCGCTGACCCAGAGCTCACTGAGCCACATTACTGGCCCTTACCCATCTTCCTTCCCAGTGGTTAGGAAGAAAAATATCACAACTGGGTGATTAAAGACTGAATCATTTTTTGGAACTTTGTACATTAATCTGTGTATATATGTACACACATTTACAGAGATTATATTAAAAGAGCTATAACTATATATCATTTACTACAGTGTATATACAAATATAATGAATTTATTATTATATGTTGAATTTATTATATAATATATTATTTATATACATAGGGCATATACATTTTTAGACATTTTAATGTTTATCTATCTCTCTATACGTACGTATAGAAGACATGCTGTAAAATTGCCTGGCCGCACAGGTGAGGATTTGGAAAGCCACACTGCTTTCTCCACACTGTGCTCATAGCCAACCTTTACACCCTCATCACTCTGGTCCTTTCACCTAGTTCTCCTTTGTCACATGCTACACTCACCTGCCACATCTTGTCTTCATTGCTTTGTAAGCTCTCTGAGGAACAAAGTGTCTTTTACTGTATCTACATATGGTACCCAGCACAATCTGACTGGGCCTCTTGGCACCAATGTAACATTGTTTTTTACTGATTTACTGTTAGCTTTTAGGGGCTCGGAATATTTGCTTACTTGGTTGTTAAAATGCAAAGTGACTACCACTGCTAAAGAATTTATTTATTTATCAGAAAAAGGAAAGTATCTCAACTCCCTGTCTTGACAAAAATAAAATTAAAAAAAAAAGTACTCACTTGGCTTTATGAGGATCTTCTATTTCTAAATCCCAGACATAAAGTTTGCCAACCTGATTGCCCAGAGCAAGCATCTGTAAAAGAAAGCAAAGGATAAAGAAGTTTTAAAATACTATCTCAAAAAAGGGAATTCAAAATTTTTTTAAATCTCTACAGCTGACAAATTGTGTGTGAATCCTTGAACATAAATAACTTAATAAGTTTGTTGGAAATGCCATAAAATTTCCCTCCTTTCTTCCACATCATTATCCATCTCTGCAGATGAGGGAGGCAGATATCAGTAAGCACACCTTGATGGAAAAGTAGTATTTATTTGGTAGAACTCTTTCCATCATGCAGAATCCATCATGAAAAATCTAGAGCTCCTCCAGTTTCATGTCAAGCCTCTTGCAGCAAGTCATTCTGCTTCCCAACCACCACCTCACATGAACCAGAACTTCCTATGCCCATAAATATGGAATCAAGGAAAAGTTGCACACCTTCAAATACAGCAAGGGCAAAGCTCACACATACCTTTTGCCAGAAATCCATTGAGAACCTCATGTACCATATATCACATTGACTGTAATCAAATCTCCCAAGTATTGTCACATTTGACTCACTGGGCTTGATTTTATCTATATCGTCTTCCATTTTACCAGGTTTCCAGCACACAATAGCATTTTCACAAGACTGGAGGGAAAAAATGGGGAAAAAAAAAAAATCACCTATATTTACAATTTATATCTCACATTCAGTCTAACTATCATTATAACCAAATATTTCATCTCACAGCTTTCGTAATGACATTCTTAAAAAAAGTACAATTGTAAAATCTCACCTCTGTCCTTATATCACAGCCACATCACCAAAAAACAACAGGTCACTGCCCATGGCTGGGAGCCTGTGCACCCACAGCTTTGACAGGTAACAGAGCTGCAGGAGCCCCCTCACCCACTGCACAGGACGCCAACCAGACGTGCTTAATCACACCTTGATGAGCAGCTTAAATTAACCTTGACTGGAGGATTATTCACCCAGTCTCTTCGACCAACTGGATTGTGCATGCACCAATTTCTGGCAACAACACATGAATCAAAGCTACTCTATTAGAGGAACCCTCTTTCCTCCCTTCAGCAGCAGGAGCCCTCACCAGTATCTGTATATTCTCTTTCTCTATGTTCCACACAGATGCTGGTTGGCTGGTGTCCTTCTACTTTTAGCAGAGCTACAGCTGTAGTAATAAATTTACTTTTTAAGTACAAGCCATTTATCCACACATCCTAACAGCTGCCAAAATTCACCATACTCTCCATAAAATCTTCTGACATTGCATAGTAATTTAACCTGAGATCCAAATGCTAGTAAAACTACTTCTAAAACTTTCTAAGCAAATAAGAGTAATACAGCTTTAAAAACTGCAACATTACCTTGGAAAGAATGAGATCTCCCAACCACCGTACACAGTCAACGTAGTTTCTGTGAATGTCTCTCGTAGAAAAGTCAGGAAAGTGAATTTTTTGGGAAATAAAAGGCCTATGGAGAAAATTGCCAAATGAGATTCAGAGAAACACAGAAGCACAGCTCTAATTTTTAATGGCCAGCTTTAACATATCTTGATGTTAAAACATATCAGATAGGCTTCTCCTTTTAACGGTTTTATAACTAAGTAGATCTAGTAATTTTAGTTGTTTGGGGTTTTTTTAATAATAATAAAAAGGAACAGCCCCTGGTTTCATCCTCAGGAAATTCCTAATAACTGGTTTCCTATATATGAGGCCATGCAGAGACAGGGCTGAGCAAAACCATTCCTTCAGATGCTGAATGCAGCTCCTGTTGCAGATACTTCAAGAACCAATTAAAACTCAGTTTTCCTGCTGCTGCTTCTGCAACATCTAAATTGTTAAACAGAAATGCACACTATTAAAAAAAAAAAATCATTTTAGAAAAAGCACTCTAAAAAAAAGCATCATTTAATATTTGGTAACATTACCAAAAAAAGCAAGAGTATTTTCACATCTAGTCTCACTGCTGAACATGTTCAGTGAGTTTTAGACTCTTCAGTTCTCTCACTGGTTTAACTGGAAGTTAAGATTAAAAAGTTGAGGAACTTCACAAAGGGGAATTTATCCATCATGTATCTAATTGCTGTGTTTACTTGACTACCTATATCTGAGGTCAGATCAGAGAATGATGAAAATTAAGCTTATTGCTACATAAACAGTTTTGTCCCCAAATAACAGATGCAATAACTAGTAATAACTACTCAGTATAGAACTGTTTTTATGTTTAATTACACAGCTTTGACTCCCTCCTAGAAACGTTGAAGTGAGAGGAAGAACAGCCACGGACATCTTGAAACAGTGAAATACAAACTTTAATTAAGAATAACAAAGATAATACCTCCAGGCCTTTTCTAATCAAGCAGGCAAAAACTATTTAAAACATTTAAAAATAAGTGTCTCAGGACTTTGACTCTGAATTCAATAAAATTCTATTGAATCAAACATCAATAAGACACATCTTCTAGAGAGATTCAGTATCTAGCACAATCCCCAGGTCACTCACTATCCCCAGAACTCCCCATTTGGATAGGAATTAACCTGGGCCACTGATGAGAATATTCATGTTTTGTAAAGACAGCCAAGATGAAGACTACTTACCTGTTAGTTTTATTTGGGTTGTACTCATAAGACTCTTTGATGGCATTTATCATTCTCTTGGAATTAATTCTCCAGAGTTTTAGAGAGTGATCCATCCCACAGGACATGATTTTTTCACCAAGAAGATCATAATCCTATATATATGAAATAATTTTGAGCACCCCCAGCCTAAACTGCATTATAACGACTCAGATTTTATTCCATCAAAACAGCATTTTCTGCACAGAGAACACAATAAAACTGTGTATTTCAAATAGAAAAAAATATTAACAACTTAACCATGCTCACTGCAAAGCAGCACAGTAACTCGGTAATTATAGTCAATCTCTTTTAAGAATGAGAGGCATATTCAACAGCACTGAGACAATGAATCTATCAGTAGCACTCTCCCCTCAAAAAATGCCCTAGGTTGCATTTTATGGAGCAACTCTGGCTGAATTCCAGGGCTACAACATGGGTAATGACTGTTTGCAATCACACGAGAATAATGCAGTCTCAGGTTTCACAGAGAAGCACCCCTCACCTCTCAGGTCACACAAGAGGCATGGAAGCAGTTCTTAAGAGTGGCATATCAGAAGTCTAGTTGGTATTTGCCGGGTACCAGTGTCTGCTCACAGCCACTGAAAAGCAGCATAACTCACCTGAAATAACCTCTTACATTCACCACGTGCCTCTCAAGGCTCATTTGTACTTGCTGCTTTGCCTTGAGAAGACCTCAAGAACTTTAAAAGTGGGACCATGATGAAAGTTTTTACTCCTTCTAGCCCCACTGAGCTCTATCTTCTTTAATTCTAGGCTGCACTGTGAAAAACAACTAGCCACTGAAACAAAGTGAACACCTCTCCTGTATATTGAAAGGTGGGCAGATCAAACCATCTTAGATTTAAACTCGTCTATCCCCTTAAAACAGTATTTATGCACTTCAGGCTTGGGGTTTTTTTTTAAGTAGGTATAATATCAGAACAGTGCACAAGAGGATAAAAAGTTGCATATTGTAAGCTTACTACCCTTTGTAAATCTAGGTCACTGCCCCACAGTCTTCCACTTACTGCACTTAACACCTCATCCCTGTGCCCTTCTACTCCTCCAAATATTGCAACCAGCGTGTCTGTCTGGATGTTCCACAGTCTCAATGCATGATCTATAAAGAACAAATAAAATTACATGCTGCTTTTTATATGTACATAGGAATAATATATTTCAGCTTAACTACTTTCAATAACAGGTGTTCATGTAAATAGCAAAAAGGCACTTAATTCTGCTAGACTTGTGAAAAACAATAGAACTGCATTAACTAAAATTACCACCACAACTCACCTATTGTTAAAGAAATTCTGTAATTGAGGAAGTGTGCCCACTCCCCTCCCCGAGGGACAGCTTCAAGCAAAAATATACTTGGATCTTTAGATCACCCAAAAAATGAAGAGTCTGATCTTGGACAAGTACTTATACCAAAAAACGCTAAGAATTCCTTTCAGCCATTCTTACATCAGCATTCAGACAGGACATGATTTTTCTTTTCTTTTTTTTTTTTTTTAACCTTTAAAATATTATTCTATATGAACCACAGACTGCAGGGATAGGAGAAACTCTTCTTATACTATGTACTCCAAAGCCAATTGGGCTAATCCACTTGTTTAAAGAAAGTTCTAATAATTTCTAATGAAGAACCTCTAGTGTATTAGCTATTTGGAAATCTGAAGCTGTAGCACATTTCCCTTTTGGATTCCACAAGTACACTGCACTGAATTACACTGACACCAGCTGGAAAGCCACACAGTCCCAAATATTTTCCTCTTTTTCTATTCATCTCTCAGCCAAGCAGTTCTGAAACTCCAATATTCTCCTGCCTCATGATCTCCTGGAGACAGTACCTGGTCCAAAGATCACACATTAAAACTTGTAGTACTAAGGCTGATGTCAAATGTTTCTAAAAAGAGAACCTAAAAATATACAGGACTCAAGTAATTCAACATTACAGACCTACAGCATAAACTGGACAGCTGCAAGAATCAGAGAAGTTCCCAACTCCTATCCACACGTTGCTTCACCAGTAATGCCAAATGTGCTGAAGTCCATAGTCCCCTTAGCGAAGGTTTCCAACTTGAGCCCTCCTGAAGGCTTTACTCTTGCTCCAGATCAGATATTCCCTTACTTAACAAAACAGTCAAGATCAGCTGTGACTGTTCAGACATTCTGGGCAAGCCTGTAAGACACCACACCAAAAACTCACTTCTCTCTTCACTACTCTGCTTTCTACACAAAATCCAGTTAAAGTCAGAGCTGCTCCTGAGCGACAGAGCATCCCGGTTTCCCCCATGAAGGGTGGTGAACGCTGCTTGCGGCACTGAGACATCCCCACTAGATGGCAACAAGATTCAACAACTCAAAAAATTTAACTCCACTGCCAGAGCAACCCCAACCTGCATGCTTGTTCTTCCCTAACAGTAGCACTGCTCACAATCCCTTTGCACACACGTGAAGTTATGTTTATTGTAGGCCATGGATTTAATATGTACAAGACACGTAGCCATAAAAGAGCAAGATATGCTCTAGATTTTCAAGGCAAACTCTCTCAGTAGCATTCACAAAAAATTCAGAGATTTTTGGCCGTTTTCAAAGCCAAAATCCAATCCAAAGTATCCTGATTTACACAAAAACAGAAGAGGGGTTTTTCCTCACCTTTGCTTACAGATAAAAGAAGATTTGGGTCTCTTGGATGGAATTTCAGTTCATTGATTGCATTTCCATGGCCCACATAGTGCTAGGATAGAATTCAGAGACCAAGTTGTTATTTCCCCTCGTGTTTGCATGTATTAGGAGACATAAATTTCCTGCCTTACTGAAAGACAAGCTGTATCTTTAAGTTTGGAGCACTCACCTTTATGCACTGCATTGTAATAGGATTAATTATCCTAATGATACCCCTGGAGCCTGCCACAGCCAGAAGAGGATGGCTTGTGTTGCTATCATATGTCCACGCACAGGTATAGAAATTTTCATCTGCCTGCATCACCTCATGTTAAGGAACACATAAGAAACAGAAGATTTTTGCTTAAAAATTAAAAAGGGTAGAATTTTTTTTTTTTTTTTAAGTAAACTTGTTGCAATTTTATGCAAGTGCCCAGGAGTCTCTGCTAGACCCGGTAAGAGAAAGATTATACATCTGCAAATATAAGCAACATCACCTTTTCTACAGATGCCAATTTCTTTTTTCTGTTCCAATATATACAAGGAACATCTCTCTTGACATCACTTTTCAATCTCTTTTTCCAAAATATCTAGATACTGGTAATAAAATGAAGATGAATCAAGACCAAGTTCCGAAGTTACTGGCTTGTGTACTGCAAATGATCAACAAGTTATTACCACTTCAAAGCAGCACAAAAAAAAAAAAAAATTCTTTGGCTTTAAGCCAAATTCCAATTCACAGGGAAACAGAGACCACTGTACAGCAGTGAGTGTAAAACATCACTCAAGTGTTCAGATGATTAAACTGATGGAGAATTGGTTTTCAAATATTTTAAGATTCATGGTCCATGAATCTGCATTTTTAATATTTTTTCAATAGTAGGGACTCTAGGATGTGGGAAAGAGGTAACACTTGGATCTAACATAAGGAATGTATTACATGAACAAAGTATTAAATCACAGACAAAACTTCCATAGACTTTTTTCCTATAAAGCTTCTTCATTTTTGCTAACCAGGTAGCAAGTAGGTGGCTTTTCAACTTGAAAGGATACATCAGCATCCACATAGGACTGCAACAGACGGATTTCACCTTGGGAATGACACTCATATAAAGTAACCTGGAGAGGAAAAAAGTGCGAGAGGTTACTCCTTGTAATTTCATGCTGCTTACTTGACATATTCACCTCAAGCACTGTGTTCACTTTTGGGCATCTCAATACAAGAAAGACATCCAGATACTGGAGTGGGTCCAGAGAAGGGCAACAAAGTTGGTGAAGGGTCTAGAGCACAAGAGTTATGAGGAGTGGCTGAGGGAACTGGGGTTGTTTAGCCTCGATAAGAAGAGGCTGAGGGGAGACCCTGTCACTCTCTACAACTCCCTGAAAGGAGGTTGTAGCAAGGTGGGCACTGATCTCTTCTCCAAAGAAACAAGTGATAGGACAAGAGGAAATGGCCTCAAGGTACACCAAGGCAGGTTCAGGTTGGATACTAGGAAAAATTCCTTCACCAAAAAGGTTATCAAGCACTGGAACAGGCTGCCCAGGGAAGCAGTTGAATCACCATCCCTGGACATGTTTAAAAGTCATGTAGATATGGTGCTAGGGACATGATTTATCAGTGGACTTGGCAGTCAGGTTAATGGTTGGACTTGATGGTCTTAAAGGTCTTTTCCAACCCAAACAATTCTACGATTTCAGAAAGAAATCACAAGCACCTGTGTATTCACTTCCTGACAGGGAGAGGCTGTGTGCCTTTATCAGAGCTCATCCATCATCTCCACCCAACAGGTAGCAATGGTTCGATAAAAGAACGCTCCAGCAGTTTCAGTAAAACACCATGCCAGGACTCCTCAGAAGTCCTTCCCAGATACTTAAATCTATTATTTGAATTGTCTTAGTAAGATTAAACTCTATTTGGAATTAGTTACTGCAGTCATTTGTACTGGGTCTGTCTGGCAAGGTTTTGATAGCAGGGCTGGAGGGGCTGCAGGGGTGGCTTTTGTGAGCTGCTAGGACCTTCCCACATGTCCAACAGACCAAATCCCAGCTGGCTCAAGGACAGATCCACCACTGGTCAAGTCAATCAGTGACAGTGGTAGCATCTCTGGGACAAAATATTTAAGAAAGGGGAAAAAAACCTGCTGTGCGACAGCAGCAGCAGAGTGAGAATATGGGAGAGAAACAACTCTGCAGACACCAAGGTCAGTGAAGAAGAAAAGGGGGGAGGTGCTCCAGGCACTGGAACAGAGATTGCTCTGCAGCCTGTGCTGAAGTCCGTGGTGACCAGGCTGTCCCCTTGCCGCCCATGGAGGTTAATGGCAGAGCGGATATCCACCTGCAGCCCATGGAGGACTTCACACCAGAGCAGGCAGATGTGCCCAAAGGAGGCCGTGACCTTGTGGGAAGCTCACACTGGAGTAGGTTTCTGGCAAGACCTCTGGACCCGTGCAGAGAGGAGCCCACGCTGGAGGTTTGCTGGCAGGACTTGTGACGTTATGGGGGACCCACACTGGAGCAGTTTGTGAAGAACTGCAGCCCATGGGAAGGCCTCACAATGACAAAGTTTGTGATAATAACAATATATGATGAACTGACTGCAACCCCCACTCCCTATCCCCCTGAGCTGCCTGCAGGGAGCAGGTAAGAGAAAATCGGGAGTGAAGTTGAGCCTGGGAAGATGGGAGGGTTTGTAGGCACTTGTTTTAAGATTTAGATTTTATTTCTCAATATCCTACTCTGATTTGATTGGTAATAAATTAAATTAATTTCCCTAAGTCGAGTCTGTTTAACCCATGATAGTCACTGGTGAGCAATCTCCCTGTCCTTATCTTGACCTACGAGCTTTTTGGTATATTTACTTCCCACTGTGCAGTTGAGGAGGGAGAGTGATAAAGCAGCGTTTGTGGGCACCTGATGTCCAGCCAGGGTCAACCCACCACACCATCTCTAACATAACTTGGTCTTTTAATGAGCCATTGATACCTTGTTTAATCTTAGTTCAGCACTTTTGGTAACTGCCAGGTGGAACGAACCTGGAAATGAAAGGTTTCTGGTTTATTCAGGAGTTATTTTCAAGACTGAAATGACATAGAACCTTGTTGAGAAAAAGTCTATAAATTCACTCCACGCAGGCCATTAATTTAGCTACTGAGCTGCCTGGCATCATTGCAGACACTTCTCATCCCATTTTAGAGCATGTGACCCTTTGGAAATAATGACGTCTACGAAGACCAATTTTAGTGAGAGGACACATTTATGTACTTCTCCTCCTTATCCCCTGTTTATATTACTGAACAATTTTTTTCTTTACTATATAGGCTAATCCCCAAATAGCTAACACATGACTTCATAAAACAATCCAGAGGCTGCAGCTCTCCCAAATAAGAGATGCTGCACACCTCGGAAATAAAGCTTTGCATATGAAGTACCCTCCGTGTGTAGTAAACACAGGCAAAGGGATGGGTTGAATGAAAAAAAAGAATGCAGCAGAACCACCCGGAAGGGCTTAGGGACAAAAACAGATTACTCACTCTGTTGCTGCCTACAGTGGCAAAAACGAGAGGATCACCTTCTTTACTGTGCCAGTTAAACTGGACTCCAAACAAAGGCTGACCATGGTCCTCCTGTAGATGTGAAGTAAGATTAGAGAAAAAACAAAATAAAACCCACAGGCGTATTATTTCTGTGAAATTCAGCTGTGGTGGTAAACAGTTTAATTGGTATGTTTTCCTCCTCAAACTACCGGGTTGCCATCCAGTATAATTTCAGATAGGGAAAAGTAAAAAAGAACAGTTTTCTACCATCACATTTTAACTTGGCTGTCTTAAGGGAGTTTAAAGGAATACTTCACCTTCCCCTCCTCTCTTCCCTCAGCAGCCCCCCCTAGGCTTTTAGAAAGTGAAGGGGAAGAACTGTTGCCTCACAGTTATGGCCACAAGCTGACAGAAGTCCTGACTTACATTTGTAGCTCTACTACTTTGTTTTGCAATTTTCAAGAAGGCAACCTCAGCATCTAAAGCCACATCTATATGTATTTTATACTGTTATAATTAGTTCCACACAAGGATTTACTACCTCACAGAGGTAAATTATTAGGACAGAAAGGAATTACAGTGGTATAAAAGGGTGGCAAAAGGCCATAGTTAACTATTACAGCACAGTTAGGTCTTGCAGCTCTATCAGACACAACAAACTCTCTCCAGTGTGTCACAATGCTGCTGCAAAGGTCATGTCTACAAAGTGTTTTCTCTTTGCCTTCACAAACAGTTACCAGAGAAATGCCAAGTATTATTTTTATACAGCTTACATGAGTATAATAGAGAAGAAAAAAAAAGTAAGTATGTTTATGAATTGTGATGAATATGGTGGTGCTTGTTAATAATTGATAACAGTATTTTGGCCTGTCCTGACAGGATGTTTTCAGTAAGAATAATGTTCATTAAAGTGCCTCCCCACAGGGGACTGTCTGGGACAGTGCAGGCAGGAAGGAAGTGTCTCATGACGGCTGTTGAGCAGCCCTCAAATGGCAGCACTTCAGAGACAATACCAGAACGTTGGCCCTGGCAGCTCTGGCCTATCCAAGAACCAAAGAATAAATTTGAGGAGGGGGTGTGGGTGAGGAGTCCAGCACTACTCAGAAAAAGTAAGTCTGGCAGAATTTAAAACAGTATTACTTACTGAGAAAGGCAATATCTGTTGCTAACAGAAATAGCTAGAAAGCAAGAAAATCTCTCAGGGATGAAGGCCGTCCTGCACTTCTTGAAGAGAGGCAACTACTTTCAAAGCTGCATACAGATTGAAAAGAACTGCTCAAAGTTTAACCTGAAGTGTTACCCACTGTAACATGAAAGAACAGACCAGTGGCTTTATGTGATGAGGGATGCAAGCAAAGATAAAAGTAGCAGGGTTATTAATGACACCAGGACAGAAGAAAAAAAGCAAGTATTCAGAATCTGTAAAGCATTACAGTTTAATTAGAGATGAAGAATGAGGAAAACTATGTCATGAAATTGCATACACAAGGCCATGATTTTTAGTGTCCAACAAAGTTATGAATTTTACTTTCTATCCTTGCTTTTTTAGTGTATTTGTTTTCCTTAAAGAGAATGGCTGAGAGGTTAAATACAGAATACTTAAAATTCCTGTGAATAATTAGTTGGTTTTGAATTGCTGTGTGAGGGAATTCATGCTGGTAAATACTGAGGACTTTTGACATACTGCACGAAGATAACACAGGTAAAATGCATGGACTCTTACTGCTTTATTACAGAGATACATCAACAGGTTTTGTGCCTGTTTTTCTGAAATAACCTTGTTCTCTACCAGGTACACCTTCTCTGATCGATTTAGGGAAATGGGATAAGTAAAGAGGAAGATGGTTTTCCCCCTCAAGATAGGATACTTTTGCAGTGTGAGTTGGGGTAAGTTTGTGATTTTCTAGACAGGACCCAGACTAGGATAAGTACTTATGTAGTAAGCAGAGCTGCACAACAGAGGGCTTCACTGTTTCCCTATTTCTATATTCGAGTACATACCTAAAGTACTTAGTAAGATTTTCAAAGACAACCTATGTCCCTGGAAAAATAACTCTGCAAGACAAACTTCTTTCAACTCCTTACACCATCTGCACTACATTCCCCACGTGCATGCAGCTATCTCAGTAATACTTGCCCACTCTAACTTTCGTCCCAGGTGCTCAGCAATGAAACGGGTTTTTCACAAAATTACACCTTTAAGTTCTGCGTGTGGTGGTTATTGTGAGATGCCAAATAGGTCACACAAATCTGACTGCTGGTTTGTACAGACAGAAGTGTGACCCACATGCTCATCCAGAAGCAGGATTGTGAAATGCCTTCTGGACCCTGGTATGAGTAAAGGGCACAAACCCCAAAGTATTCAGGTTCTTCATGCACCAGAGAAAGAAGGCACAGGAGAAAAATAGACCTGAAATCGTTATAAAAGCAAACAAATACATATTCAGTGGTTAGTTCTGCCCTTACTTGCCACCAACATGGGTTCAGTTGAATAAGGCTAGACCTGGTTCCAGACGGGGGGCAGTGAAGTAAATACCATGCCAATACAAAGGATAATCACCTGCAACTGCACAAACACATTTTAGGTCACTGTCACCCACACTGCCAGCAGGGAACCAAGTGACCACACACTGACCAGTTCCCAAAAGTGGAAGCAAGCCATTACTGGCAGTGGTTTTAGTTACCTCTCCTTCACACATCAACCAGCTAGAATCTCCCATGTGGTTGGTTACTGACTTCCAGTTCAGGGGACAGCAAGGAGAAGGAGAGAGACAGCACTGGACTGGTAACAGGCACACGAGTAACAGGTAGGGCAAGTTTTAAAAGGACCACATTGAAGCAGAAAACACATGGTTCTCTAATGAAAGATCTTAAGTAGAAGATGTATGGATGTATGGGAGGATGTGCATCAGTTTGCTCCACAGGCTCATCTATAAATGACACTTCCATTCAGCCCGCAGAGAGCAAAGAGTTCTCAGTACACCTTAGAGTAACCCAGTACTGCAAAAAGAAAAAAAAAATAAGTTTTTTTATTTCCTGTCATTTTCCAAGTTATATTTTTTGTTTTCCTGATGCTTAAATTTCACCCAAAATAACTTCCACAGTAGTGTTTAAAGAGCATATTTAGCAAGCACTGAGTTTTTCAGGCTGAACCATAACCATTTAAAATTCAAAGCACACAGTAATGGCCATATTTCTGTTTCCCTAAGGAAAAAAAAGCGAAAAGCAAAATAAGAGGGGAAAAACAAGAACAGAAAAATGGAAAAATACACAACTTATACATCCCTAAAGAATATTAAAATTAATCTCCATATCTTTAAACCATGTTGACTCTTCATTAATTTCAGCACATGCACCTTACAGCATAGTTCAAAGACCTGTAAACTATGGGATACATGATGTGAAATCCAGAGTCACAAGTGTACTTTCAAACCCACATACAGCATTAAGTCAGAGATCATCTGTACAGTATCTCCACTAGTACAGAAGAACAGGAAAAATAAAAGACAGGCCTCCTAAAAAATGAAGTAAAGAAAGAGCTACCAAATTTGGCTGCTACCTAGTCTTTGTATTAACATGCACATTTATTATTATTATCATTAATTTCAGTTCAAAGAGAAGTGGGCAAAAGTTAATACAAATACCTCACTTAGCTGAAATGCTACATTTACTCCCTCACAGCTTGATTCCACTTGCACAGGAATCTGTTTCCAGGCCCTGATCCAAATCCATGGAAGTCAGGGACTGCCTAACTTCACAGGGTGGTCTTTTGGGTCACCCTATAGCAGGGCCTGGGTTGAAACAGAACTTGTTAAATGTTTGGGAGCCAAAAGGCCTGTGCCTGTGCATAGAAGCATGACCTGAAGCCACAAAAAGCACTATCTGCAGGGCTGATTCATGAGAATCACAGAACAGCTGCCTGCCTAGGTGAAAATGAAAGATCTTCCCCTCCTCCTACACCCTGCAAGGACAGGGGGTAATTTTTATATTTAAAAAAAAACACACAAAGATCAACTTGTTTCCCAGATACTTTTGGCCGTATAAATTCCTATCACAATTTCTCTCCAGTGGCAAAGCTCACTCAGGAGTTTTCCAAGCTCCAGAGCTTTCAGCCCCTCTCACTCAGCTACACCAGGATTTTGGTAAGACATTCTGAAGCCACGTTCAGGAACAGCTCCATCAGCACAGCTCAGGAGCTAAGTGTGGGGGAACAACAAGCACCTCTTGAAGCAGTTCTGCAGAAAATACCCACTATGGAGCTGCACACATCCTCTTGTCAGCTAAATATGAAGCTTTGCAAAATTCCCATCTTGTTCCAGACACAATCTTTTCTTTATTTAGAAATCTTGTAAAAATCAAATCAGATGGCACATTTACAGCTTTTGTCACATAAATATTCCACGCAAGGCTGGGGAAGGAAAGAAAAACATCCCGATGGTGTAAGAGAACCAAAGAGAAAATTAATTCAGTCCACCACAGGCTGTCATCAGTGCAGAAGAAAACTGTTAATACGCTAAAACACGAGAACAGGGACTAAAGACCCTGTGAATCCACATCCCTTAACATTAACAGGTACTATGTGGGAAGACAAATATGACCTCGATTAGATGCAAACACATAATCACAACACTCCCAATAAATTAACCAATTATTAAAAATTTAAATTAATCAAATTGCGCTATACAGCATTTATGACAATTGCCAGAGGACAGAAAAGAACTGATCTGGTAAGTGTGAGGAAAAAACTGCTCCAAATGAGCATGGAACATAATTCTACACAGATATTTAAAGTATCTTGACACTGTCTTGCAGTCAACATCAACACTACTGCTGGCACGTGGTACCCAGCATTCCCATGGTGCAGCTTACACATACTTACCTTTAGGCTATTTACACATTTGAAGGAATATTTGCACTTCTTTGACTTCCATTTTCCTTTCCCCCAGCTTTTTCTTCCTGGTGCATTAGGAGTGTTTGTTGGCGTGTCAGGGCGCTCGGTGTTAGTGCCGCTTTCAATACTGACAGCATCATCCTGAAAACGTTCAAATGATACAGAATATAACAAAGGTACCATTAACCACTGTATAAATTCAACTAATCCCACAGCACTTGGCCTTTGCACTTTTCCTTCTCCTCCCTAAGAACCAAAGATCTCCTAGGACTTCGTGTTATTTAGATTGATGTTATTTAAATCTATTACTAACATAATGGCATTCCTCCCTAGAAACAGAACGTGAGTCACATGAGGACTAATCCAAGAGGGAGAGACATGAACTATGATCTAGTCGAGTTTCTTCAGAATACTGGCAGCAGCTCTCAAGAAAACGTCTAACAATGAAGTGGTCACTTTTCCTAGAAAACCTCTTTGACGTAGCTGAAATGAGCACTTCTGAAGTACTGAAGGAAGAGGTTGTTCCTGTGAAACCATTACGCTCATCCATACCAAGAATCTAACCATGCTGAGACTTCTGCACACCCACAGCAGCACCAGGCACAGCCCTGTTCTGTAATAAGTCAGCACTGCCATTTTAAGAGGAAGTCCCACCTCTCCCTCCTGCTCTTTCCTACAGATACTTGCTTCAGCTAAAAGCTAGGTTAAAAAAAAAAAAAAAACAAAACCAAACTTAACTTGCTGTCTGATCAGCCAACTCATCTACCTGGCCCTCCAACTGTCAGCAGCCTGAGCTAAGGTCAGGATGGGGAAAACTGAAAAAAAGGGTGTCAAAACAACCCACCCAGGTTGCTGAGCAGTTTTAGATCAGCTTAGCAGAATGAACAGAAACTATCATTACATATGGAGACCAACTGCAGGACACTACTGAAAAGAACATTTCTGTTCCCTGCATCACCCTTCACAAGAGCACTTGGACTTCATCTATATCATAACTGGTAACTCTGTGCTTCCATATGAGTAAGTTCAGCTCACCAAAAAATACTCTTTTCTTTCCCTTCCGCTAGTCTTTTCCCTTCCCATCAGAGCAGTAGGGAGAAAACAACTCATCCCAAGGCTATGTGATTTCCAGATCCGAACTAAGGGAGACCAAGGCAGACAAGAGCCTGTCACTGGAGATTAAGTGTAAAGTGTAACACAAAGCTGCACCAGAAACTCCACTAGGAATACAGAATAAGGTCAACTATAAGCATTAATACACCAATTCCCACAGAACATTTATTCTCTGTCCCAGTTTCATATCTGCATCAGAAGCTGGTAGAGATGTATCCGTCTTTGGTCAACTAACAATTCAGAAAATGAGGACATCAAGAGGAGAAGGAGGAAAGACAGCACACAAGCCTGTAAGGGAATTGCCCACACTGGAGTAATCCCCTTCACACTGCATCCCTAAAAGGGGCCAACCCTCCCCTAATACACATAACCGAGCTTAACATGGTTCCGTTTTCCAGTTTCTTCTCCTTTAGGCCAAGAAATTTCAGAGCTTGCCAAATTCTCATCTTCGAAGCACACTTGCTAGCCAAAGTCATAATATTTCACAAGGCTGAAGCTTCCTCTGAACCAGTCAGATATTACCAATATAAGAACAACAAATACCTGGTATAATGCAATTAAACCAGTTACCTGCAACTACAACATAACCAACAAAGTTGCACCCAGGACACTTGTGGAACAAAACACATCCTTTCACCAAATCGATGCTATTTTGCCAGAATCCCTGTCTTTCAGGAGTAGTGGAGTCCACCAGCAAACTCTTGAAAATTAAGTCCTTTCACCATGGAGAAAGACTGCATTTTCAACAACCAAACAGCCCACATCCCATGGTCACTGACAGCCTGCAAAGGCCACCAAAGCAAACCTGAACAACTTTAGCCACTGATCCACACATGGATTCACAAATGCTGCTGAGTAGTAAAAGAATTCAATTGTTGTACAGAGCACCTCAAACCTGCCTGTCACCTCACAAGCTGCACTTCCAGAGGCTGTGCAGGACGTGGTCCAGATCACTCGCTTTCTGCATAAATGCTCTAACCAGGGGGGAAAAAAAAACAAAACAAAACAAAACACACTGCCTAAAGCAAACACACACCCAAACAACACCTTCCACTCGAGTAACTACATAAAATACTGCTACAGACCTTGGATTAAGTCTGTATGTCAAGTGTAAAGCTATGCTATATCACTCCCATTATCTTTGTTCTAAAAAGTAGAATTTAGCCCAATTTAGAGATTAAATCCCTCAGCCCCTCCTGACGTCTGCTGACAGAAGCCTGCAAGCACTATTCCTCATCCACCCGAATACATAAATTTATGTTGCATGTTACTCCGCAACGTGACGGTGAAGACACACAAGAGACGGCTGCAAGAAAAATGGAAAATCT